CTCACCGGGGATTCCGCCAGACGTTCCCAACAGACCCTCACGATACGTTTGGGTCTGCCAGGTCTATCCAGCTTTGCCCCCCGTAAGCGGAGCCAACTCACCACCAGGTGGTGATCAGTTGAAAGCTCAGCCCCTCTCTTCACCCTAGTGTCCAATACATACGGCCGGATGTCAGATGACACGACTACAAAGTCGATCATTGACCTCCGGCCTAGGGTGTCCTGGTGCCAGAGAGAGGCTGGATGTTAACAATCCCCAACTGGCAATAATGCCTGGTGAGACTCACTCATAGCTGGAAACATCAGTGTGAGCTGCAGTTACATGAAAGGAGCTGCTGAAAACACACTCACTGAGTTTGATGGGCTTTTAACTTCCTGATGTAAATGAGGAGAAAAAGGCTAAAAATGTCCGGTATCATAACTCACCTGGCAGCAATGTATAACGTGTTGTTCATGATCATGATGAGCTGAATGTCCAGTTTGTGTCGCTGCGTGTTGTTCCTGCCAGGTTTGTGACCAACGAATGCTGGATACTGCTTTGTATCTGCAAAGAAAAACAAAAATAGACATGAATTTTTTTTTCTATCCATGCAAAACTAACATTTCTGCAAAAGATGAAAACATTCTAACAAAATTATTAAAATGTATTCCCTTATATCTACAGTAGGTATTACATCAAAACACTTCTATTTTATTAATTCACTAGCTCAGGTCAAGAGTCTAATTGGTTTTCAATCAGAAGTCAGTCCAGTTCTCTAAGCTCTGTAGTACATAGTTTACTTTGATCCTAAACCATGGTCTGAAATGTGCTTCGTGCCCTAAACAGTTGTTGTAATGCCGTTTTTAATAACAGTTCCGATAAGTGAGCGTAAACATGAGAGTGGCAGGAGAGCTTTTAACTCTCCTGGCTCAGTGATTCGTCGGTGCAGCCTGAGGAGATGAGAATAGAAAGGAATGGTTCAACCTGTAACCACTGTCAACACAGCAACACAATTACAATCAGGAAAAACAGCAGATTATCCTTTAATGGGAGCTGGACTGTGTTTCATAAATAGCTTTAAGTCGCTCAGATTTAAGTGAGACGGCTGGTGCTCTGGAAGCAGATCAGACTCATTGTCTTCACAGGGCATTAGGTAAAGGAGGAGACGGTGTAAGGAGAGGAAGCAAAAAGTTGAGAGGAATGTTGACAAGTAAATAGATGGAAGAAGTGGCAGAGATGCTGAGAGTTGAGGATTGGTGAAGTGGATGGATGGGGAGCAAAAAGAATGGAGTGCATTGTCAGGGAATTTTGGAAAAAAGGAAGAAAGAAAGAAAGAAAAAAGAAAGAAAGAAAACGGAGGGAGTAAAGGAAGGTAGGGAGGGAAGAAGAAGGGAGGATGGAGAGATGGGAAAGGAACGAATCAAGAAAAAAGAGAGAGAGGGTACTGTACGTAAGGAAGAAAAGGAGGATGAAAATATGGAGGGAGTAAGCAATGGAAGGGATGAGTGAAAGAAAGAAAGAAAGAAAGAAAGAAAGAAAGAAAGAAAGAAAGAAAGAAAGAAAGAAAGAAAGAAAGAAACCAGCACCTGGTACTTACAGTTGCCGTGTGAGATGCTAAGAGGCTCACTGTCTTCAGGGAAGCCCGCCCCAGCTATTTGCAGTAACGTGAAGTAAAACAACAAGGCCTCTGACCTCATTGTTGCAAGAACTCTGCTGCTGCTGCTGTTCCTCTGCTACAGGTTTCCGTCAGCCTGTACTGAAAAGACAGATGTGTAAGACAAGGGAGGAAACAGAGAAGAGAAAAAGAGAATTTGTCAAACAAATCTGTCCACACCTGACTGCACCGGCTGTAATCAGCCGTGTTACTGCGTAAATGGTGTGAAATGAAGAAACACTGAACAAAGTGACAAAACTAGTGGAGAAGTAAAGGACGAATGTTGGTTACAAATATTCAACGTGCACTGGCTCTTGGTGCTTTGCAGCCAGTTAGAAACTGTCAGAATCACATTCATTTGCAGTTCCCATGATTTAAGTGTGCTGGGTGCACATGAGAAAGATAATTAATTGGATTAGTTTGGTAATATGTCATAGATCAATGTCAAGCAGAGGAGATTGTTCCCTCCACTATTCTGTCAAGGTCTAAATAGGAGGAATGTCGTTGACGTCACCTTCCAGAATGTAATGTTGGTTCACTTTATAAATGTTCAATGAAAACTATAATCTGTGTCTGACACAGTGTTTTAATGGCTTTTTAAATTAGATAGATAGATAGATAGATAGATAGATAGATAGATAGATAGATAGATAGATAGATAGATAGATAGATAGATAGATAGATAGATAGATACAACACTATAAACACACAAACAGGTAAAATACAATAAAATACAAATACATGAGCAATCATAGTAGCACACTTGTCAATGAAAATGGGAAACCTGAACAGTGGATGTTAGTAGATTAGTAGGTTACTAGAAGTAGATAGATAGTGTTAGTAGTATTAGTAGATTAGTAGGTAATTATTGTTGCTGTGTATGGTGTTGTTGATGGAAATCTCAATTATTATTTATTATTACATTTCAATTATACCATTGTTAACCATTGTTATATATATATATATATATATATATATATATATATATATATATATATATATATATATATATATATATATATATATATATATATATATATATATATATATATATATATATATATATATATATATATATATATATATATATATATATATATATATATATATATATATATATATATATATATATATATATATATATATATATATATATATATATATATATATATATATATATATATATATATATATATATATATATATATATATATATATATATATATATATATATATATATATATAGGGGTATATATACACAGGGAGCACCAGGTGACACAAGTGAAGCTAATTACCAACAGGTGAGTGTGATCCCACAGATAACCCCACAAAGACAACAGGAAAAGGAAACAGACAGACATGACAGTGGAACTCCAGGGTTCACCTCCTGGGCAAGATCGAATCCCGGTTAGGGCGGTTGGCGCCTTCCAGTGGACTCACCACCCACAGGAAGTTTTAGGGGGTTAGTACGGTGCAATGTGATTTGGGTGGAGGTCATGGAGACTGCTGCCCCCTGGTAACGGATAAGCGGATGAAAATGGATGGATGGATGGTATATAATAGTGTAAATATATGAACAGTGTAAGTAGTTGAGTAATTAAATAATTAAATTAGATAAATAGTTAGCTACAGTATATAGGCAGTTCCAGCAGTGAACTATTAGTGTATGATGTCGACCATTATTACTAAGAGCTACTATACATATATAATATTATATTATATAGGATAGATATTAGTAATATAGTTATACACAGTATATAAGTTATAAATATGCATATACTGTATATACAAACACATGTACATATGCACACACACACACACACACACACATACATATATACCTACACACATACATCTAAATATGCATACTCATGTACAGACATACACATATTAGCATTGTGTGAGCATATATATACACACATATATAAACATATACCTATAATAGAGTATAAAATAGAAATACAGTGGTTTATTGAACTATAATAGTAATGCAAATGGAGATTGTGGTTATTGCACTGAAATGATTGTTGGGTTATTGCACTTACTCCGCTATCCACCAGTCGTTTGTTCGCCCTCCTCCCACCCAGTAAAGAATTATTGCCCGGTGGACAAAGGAGTTTTTAAGTCTATTGGTCCTGCTCTTTGGAAGGAGGAGCCTGTCACTGAGCAGACTCCTCTGATTGTTTATGCATAGGATGAGTGGCATTGTCCAAGATGGCGAGCAGTTTACCAAGTGTTCTCTTCTCTGTCACTGTCACCAGAGGGTCCAGTTTGATGCCCACCATAGAGCTAGACTTCCTGATCAGCTTCTCCAATCTGTGTAAGTCCTTCTTTGATGTGCTGCTCCCCCAGCACACCACAGCGTACGAAATAAAACATTTTCAGGAGCTTGCTGCAGATGTTGAAAGACCTGAGCTTCCGCAGGAAGTACAGTTTACTCTGGGCCTTCTTGTACAGCTGCCTACTGTTGTGTGCCCAGTCCAGCCACAGCCCAAGGTATTTATAGGTCCCCATGACCTCCACCTCCCGACCCTCGATAAGAACTGGTCGGAGTTTTTGTTTGGATTTCCCAAAGTCTATGACCAGCTCCTTGGTCTTGGAGGTGTTGAGCTGCAGGTGAATGGCTTTACGCCATACAACAAAGTTCCTCACGAGGCGCCTGTACTCCTCCTCATTGTTGTCCTTAATACACTCCATGATGGCTGTGTCATCTGCAAACTTCTGGATGTGGCTCAGAGTTGTACCAGATGTCCGAGGTGTATAGGGTGAAGAGGAGAGGGGACAGCACCGTCCCCTGCGGTGCTCCGATGTTACTGACCACAGCGTTAGACGTGATGTCATTTAGCCTGACATACTGTGGTCTGTCTGTGAGGTAGCTGGAAATCCAGGCAACAAGACAGGGGTCCACTTGCATTTGCATCAGTTTATCCTGGAGTGCACATGGCTGGATAGTGTTGAAGGTGCTAAAAAGGCACCTCCGGCGGAAAAGCCGCTCCAGAGTCTTCATCAGGTGCAATGTGAGTGCCACAGGTCAGAAGTCGTTCAGCTCGCTGGGCTAGTTCTTTTTGGGAACTGGAACGATGCAGGACGTCTTCCAGATGGTTGCCACTCTCTCTAGTCGAACATTCAGGTTGTAGATTAGTTGAAGCGGCTCCCCGAGTTCAGCAGCGCAGGTCTTCAGTAGCTGTGGACACACCTTGTCTGGGCCTGTGTCGTGTTATGTCTTCGGATTCTTTCTGTCATGGACCTCGGTTTATGGCCCACGACACCAAGCCAATGTGTTCACGTGTTTTCCAGGAAGAAAAGGAAGGAAAAAGGAATGGAGGGCAGGGGGAGAAGGGGGGATAGAAGAGAGGAGAAGAGGAGAGGAGCGAAGGAGGGGTCGGGGGTAGGTGTTCTGGGATGGGAGTAGAGCAGTTGCTCTTCTCACCTTTGTGTCCCTGTTGGCTCTCACTGCTGTGAATACTCACAGGTCCACATTAACATCGGTTACGCTGTCAGTAAGCCAGTCTCCGTATTGGAAAGAGAGTTTACCATAGAGTTGCCCATAATGACGGAGGGAATCGATGGTTTGAAACACCTTCGTTTATCCACTGTCTTCGCCTTTACTTTAGCCCTGACTCTGCATTCTCTGTATCTCCTCTTTATCTCTGCTGGTATGTTGTGCCGTATTCCGTGGTTAGTTGTCCTCAGAGCTAGCAGCTCGTCCCTTGAATAGACGAGAGAACTGGCTCCGGTTACCGTTTTAAGATTGCCGGTATCCATCGGATACATTTATTAATAGTACTCCGTGAAAGGAGTAAAGAAAAAGTAAGAAAAGTAGAGCAAAAGTGGTGAAAATGGATTAGTGCTGCAGAGCAACCAGAAGGCTGCTGCCGTCAGCATTAGCACCATCTTGATCTTAGAACCTGGTTGAGCTTTAACAAATATATTAGATTCTGTGTCATGTCTGTCTGTTTCCTTTTCCTGTTGTCTTTGTGGGGTTATCTGTGGGATCACACTCACCTGTTGGTAATTAGCTTCACTTGTGTCAACTGGTGCTCCCTGTGTATATATACCCCTCTCCCTCACTCTGTCTTGGTTGGATCATTGTGATTGTGACTGTGATTGTGTTTGATCATTGTAGTTTGATCGTTGTTCAGTTCGTTCTGCCAGGCTGTTCGTGTTCGTGAGTTTCATGTTCCGTGTTTCCTCGTGTTCCGTGTTACAAAGAGAATTCCATGCCTGGTAGTTCTTCGTGTTTCGTAAATTTGGACTTTGTTAATAAAACGAGTGGCACCAGTACTGCATTTGGGTCCTGCCTGCTTCCTGCGATGCCCACACGTGACACTCTGAGGACAAAAGTCGGATACAGGGTCCGTAAGAACCAGTAATCTTGTTAACAAAAATACATAACAAAATGCTCCAGTTGTCTAACAAGTGGTTGTGTCAACAACTAGCGAGATAAAAAAAATAGGAGAGAACAAATTCTGCAGTGTTTGATGTGTAGCACACACACTGATTCCAGAAAGTGTTGACTTTAATATTTTTTCCCAGTTTTTCACCTTGAGTTCCAGGCAGAACACAACAATCTCAAGCAGGCTAATTCTCTAATGTAATGTTTACCCTCTAAAGTAGGTAAATAGTAAATAGTAAACGCCTTGAATCGTGTTGGGCTAATGTTTTCATCAAACGAACCCTGGCAACTGAGCTTCTCTCGAGCAGGTTATGGCAACAGATTACACTCATAAATCACCGCAGACACTTACTGCTCCGGAATAAAGCATTTCATTTACATGAAACCTTCTTGTTTTACCACACGCTGAAAGCTTAAGTGGTGAGATGTTGCTGGGAAGATACTGAAGAGTCAGCTTCAGGGGTAAAGAGTTTCATTTTCTGCCATCTCATTAAAGTTGTTTATCTCACGCTGTATTTTCATTTCTTATTCTATGTCTGAAGTGGAACAAACAAGGAGGAGAAGAGGAAAATGAGACAGAGAGAGAGATAAAGAGAGAAAGAGGGAGTGAGAAGGGAAATACTTTCTCCTTTCTTTGTCAAGTCTCTCTCTGCCCCTCTCTCTCTCCATGCTCCCTTGAATCTCATTCAGGCGAGAAATGAAAACACTATTCACTGGGAGAATCACTTTAACACTGAGGAGAATACCAATACTAAAGCCTGGATACGACGTTTCCCTTCTCCCTCCCTCACTCCTCTGGCCTATTCCTCTTTCACCCAACTGTGTGACTTTTAAAAAAGACAAATCACTAAAAAAATGTCCCCCCACCCTAACCTTTATTATACTGCAAAGCTTGACTGTGTTGCACCTGCACTGTGTTCCTGCAGTGTCCAAACTGTAAATAAAAAATTGCCTTTTTCTCCACAGAACAGTGCATCACTGAAGAGCAGAGCTGTGCAGTGATATGTTTTTCTCCAGATTCGTGACCCCTGGAAGTCCTCTGGTTATTGAGTGACTGATGAGCAGGAAGTGGCATGAGGCAGAGGGGTTATTGCTCAGGGAGCTGAGTGATGGATACATGGGGTTTTTAACAAAAAGTGGGAACTGAAATAAAAACACTGACCTGGTTGAAGACTTAATGACTTAA